AGAAAGGCGGGGCATAGAGGAGAAACAATAATGTACAGTATGTGGAAAATAATGTGTTTTTTGAACCTTAAACTGCATAAACACATTTCATTACACCAAATACACAAAATAATGTTCTTTTTAGCAACATCATATGACCCCTTTAAGAACAGTTATTGACAGGCTTATGTCCTTGTGACGATTCGAGTGGGCGGGGCCAGCCGTGACTTTTCGCTGTTCTCCTATTGGATTGTGAATTCATCATCAGAGCTGATCCTCACTGAAGAACAGTCAACGCCTCGGTAATTCACGTGTGTCAAGACGCCGCTCGGTTAACGCGACGATTGCGGCTAAGCGGATCCGGGTGCAGCTTTCGTTAAAAAGCCCGACATCGCCAGTGGAGCTGACATTGCCTTCTTTTACTGATAACATCGAGGAGCTTTCATTTATTTCGTCCTTTGCTGTGCTACCTGAGGTGGATGTATCGCCAGGTGCTCGTGTTCGCGGTGTTTGCCGCTTTTCTATGCGGTTTTCCAGCATCATGCGCTCGTAATTTAAATTACAGACCCATCATCGGTAAGAATAAAACGATTCATTTTAGCGCTTTTCTCACTTTTTAATGTCCCGTGAACGTTTAAACCAGTGCATGATGTCTGATAGCTGATGTTGTGATATTACATCTCCTATTCTCGTGGTGTTGCTCAGTTTTTTATTTTATTTTAATCGCAGCATCGTTCTCCGCGGCTCCGTTGCTAGAACGTTCTTGTTTCTTCTGGATTCTTTTTTTACTCTTAAAAGCATTGTCATGGCAACACGTTTTAAACATGCTTGGAAGACCACCTAACCTTGCCGAAAAAAAGATTAAACCAGTTAGTGGTTAACTGGTCTGTTTGATGGTTTTAAAAGGGTTGTGGGCTTGTGGTTTTGGCACCAGCTGTTAAACAACAGCTTGACTAGTCTGGAAAACAAACTAGACCAGCAAGCCAGTACAGCCTTATGTTAGTTACCCTTATGAAAATTAACCATTGTTTTGTTATAGTAAAAGTATAGTAACCATGTTTTTTTGGCGGATTGATTACTATTTGTATACAGTAACCACAGTTTTACTACAAATACCATGATTAAACTATGGTTAGTGTTGCCAAACCATGTTTAATTTGTGGTTACCATGGTTTAACCATGGTTTTTTATTTTATTTTTAGTAAAACCATGGTTGATATTTGTAAGGGAATGTATAATATATATATCGTCACCTTGAAATTATAAGGTTCTATCTGCCATTTTTGTCAAAATTGAGTTATTCACATATTCTTATTCTGTGACAACTTATTTACATTATGTGATTTTTTTTTAAGTTGTGTACATTTTGGGACTGATGTATGAAAGAGACTTGTTCCTCATATCACATATCATTATATGGAATGCAAAAACTTAGCAAATGCAGATAGAACCTTATAATTCCAAGGTGACAATATATATACTGCATATATATATATATATATCTTTTTGCGTTTCAGGAATTTTAGCCCAGGAAAACTTGGAGGACGACCCTCATGCACAGGGATCTTCTTATATAGCTGCATCATATGTGAAGCACTTGGAGTCAGCTGGTGCCAGGGTTGTACCAATTCAGTATGTTAAACACAAGCTACATGCTATTAATACAAATTTAAAAAAAAAATATATAGATAAAGAATACATAAAGATAAATATGTATGTTTGCAGCATAAATCGCACCGAGGAGGAGTACGAAAAACTGTTCAATGTAATAAATGGGTGAGTGTTTCTGAATAGTTTGACACCTACCTAAGCTGGTAGATGTGTTTGGAACATGGAAGTTGGTTTATATTTGGTCCAACTTGTAAACCAATAGATAGATCAGCTAGAAACCAGATACCATGCTCCAAAACTGCTGTTTTTTTTTTTTATTCATATTGATATTGATTGACTGCTTTTAACCCATTTAGTTTACTGCTGCCTGGTGGGAATGTGGACATTGAAAAGTCTCAGTTTACCAGAGCGGCGAAGGTTTTCTATGAACTTGCAATAAAGGTAAGTTTAAAAAATTGTCATGTGAAAATTTGTTTGACTTGATCTTGATGAGATCGATGTGCTTCGATGGATCTTCTTTATTAACCACGACAGGCTAATGATGCTTCAGATTATTTTCCGATCTGGGGCACCTGCCAGGGCTTCCAGCAGCTCACGGTTCTGACCAGCAACAAGAACTTGTTGACCTTGACTGACACCAAAGCAGTCGCCCTGCCGTTGACCTTTAGCCCAGGTTGGTAACAGCGTGTTTTTCTCCAAATGTGTCACATTCTGGAATAGCAAACTCTTACTAGTATTACAGCACTGTTGTCCATTATAGTGAT